AGTTCGTAATGTCATCGTACACGTCGTCGTTGATGCTTGACATGCCAAATTCGTGAATGGACGACATGCAAGGTTGAGGTATTATTGTAGAGAGGCTGCTAATAGAATTAAAATATGGTCTCTCCAAAATCAATTGTATTAATTGATAGAGGTTATTATTTGTCATTATAGGAATTGAATGCCTTGAGCTGTTTTGCCACAACGTATCTCAAAGGTTATTCATTTTGTAGTCTGACATCCAATGAACAAAATTCAGTTTACACTGAGGTCTGAAATAACACCAAATTTCAGAGGAAACTCTGATTGGGTTCCTGAGATATGAGCGAATGTTCCCTCGTTGCCTTCGTTGACTGTAAATTTCTAAATTTATTTGGTCATTCTTGGATCAGGAACACGGTCATTTCGGAAGTATGTCTGCCTTTGTTCTGAACAACAACCAACGCTATGAAGGAGAGTCATCAACGAAATAACATTGTTGATCGGCAGTGGCGTACTTGTTTCGTGTATATCTGTCTCCTTCAGTGCAAGCCTGCATGTCTTCGGAATACCTTGCGTTTTTGATTTCGTGACTCGATGTTCAGATCAGATGAAGAACAGTTAAAAACGGTACACCCTCCATCTATGTAAAGGCACCATCTGCAGTTGAATTGTATTCACTTTCCAAACTGCATGTCAAACAGGATGGCCCGTTCTACGTTTCGTTGACAAAACCAAGCCTCCTTGATCACCAAGGGTCGCTTAATACAAGTGAGGGAGTCCACAGCAGCCTCTTTGAGCAGGCGCGTTCTTGACTCCAAGAACGTGTCAAACGTTCGCCGAGAAAGCATGTAATCGGTACGTTCAGCGAGGTAGCGCTTGATGCTCGTCTTGAATACACTGAAACAACTCTCTATTGGATTCAACATGAGCGAAAAGGGGTCAAGACGAAGGATAACGAGACCGTTGTGTGGCAAAAAGCGCGTTTCCGTTTGAAAGTGTGCCGTCGCATTATTATATATTGTCCAAAGCAATGACAACCTTTTTCCCACGAAAGTGCTCTTCCCAATAGGGACATTGATCGGCGCAGACTCAGAGGTGGTCCACAAAACTTGCATTGACATCCATCTTGATGCTTCCTCGTTACATGCGATGGCACACAAAGCCGTCGGCGACAGAGACAGTTTGCTGTCTCTGTCGAGGAAGCATCAAGATGGATGTAACGAGGAAGCATCAAGATGGATGGTTATCACAGCGCGCTTTTCTTTCCGCCCTCAACCTTGACTGCGCTTGCAATAGATGTTGACGTTAGTTTCGTCAAATTGAACGATGTAGTCGTTCTCGGCTTGGTGATTCTTGAGCTTTTGGGCGAAAGATTTTCTCTTCAACTTGTTCTCTGCATTGCTGCATGTTGAGAGCTCTACGCGGACATTCTTGACCGTGTACAGCATGCCAAGCTACTGCCTGCTGATCGTTTGGATGGAAAGAAGGGTTCTCGGAAAATCGAACAACCCGAAGGCTTGCATTTGGCCGAGCCTATACAGGCAATTTTCGTAGAGGTAACTTTCGAGGGCCTCTTGTATTTCCGGCGTAACTTTTGTCCTCTTTTGTTGTGTCGAACAACCGCTCTTCAACGCTTCCCCGCGGTGGTGGAAGCGCGGTTGTTCGACACAACACGCCAAGCGGTCGTGACGGAAATTCGGTTGTGCTTGGCGACGACTTTCCAGTCGTCGCTACCTTGCTGGTATACGTCGAGGACTCGTTGCGACGGTAGATCCGACGAGTTTCATGCAGATTCAAATGTGATGATGTTTGATTTCTTATCTGTTTCCCGCTCATGGTTTGGCGTCATTTTGAGGAGATCGCCACCTGTCGTTTCAGTTTGATAGTGGAGTTTTTCATATTGGTGGTGGTTTTGCAAAGGTCAAACCTGTATGTTTTTTTTAATCATCCGGCATTCTCATTGATGGTGGTTTAATTTCAGGTTAATCGGGAGAAGGTGTACAGTACTTTTGTTTGCACGACGTCATACACTGCGCGCCACATGATTAGACCCATGCATGTATCGATAAGTTAAGTAGGAGCCTCGTGGAATCATGGCGAGACAATGCAGCTCAAAGCCCTACAAAGAAGCCTTGTGGTCGACAACAGTGCTCGACATGGACATATCATCCCAAAGCCCTCGATTGAAGAAAATGTGACTTAAAGCCCACGCCAGAGGAATAGACCCATCGGAAAACTTGACCAAAAGCAGGCACAATGGAACGAGTTCATTGACTTAATTTACTGTTCTACCACCCTTGGCTTCCAATACGGCCACACAACGTCGTGGCATCGACTGAATGAGCGCCATGATGAGGTCTTGGCTGATTGCAGACCATTCTTCAATGATAGCCGTTTTGAGGTCAGCAACGCACTGAAACTGACGGCCATTGTGATACACGCGCCGCGCAAGGAGACCCCAAATGTTTTCAATGGGATTCAAGTTAGGAGATAGTGAGGGGTGGTCAAAAAGAGTGACATTTTCATTAGACAAAAATTGTTTCGTGTATTTCGATGTATGAATTAAGGCTTCATCTTGCATAAAAACAAAATAATCAGCATATTGACAATGCGCAAATGGAAACAAATAGTTGGGAGTAGCGCAACTTTTTGCCGGATAATACATAGGATCACGCAACTATTCATTGCGTGGTTGTTGCGCCACACGAATCTATCCAAACCTCGCACAATACAGGATTGAAGTATAAAAAACTATCCGTTAGATAGTTGTGAGTAGCGCAACTTGCACGAAATCGATTATCCGGATTTAGATTTTGGTTTCATTTCATTGCTATTAGTTCAAGGCAATGGCGCCGAAGCGCCCATCGAGAGGAGGCCAGACGGACTATGATACCGGCACCCGAGTCCTTCGTGCACGAGTTGCAGAAGGAACTCGAAATCAATACAATACCATGATTGCTCATTTCAGGAGATGGTTAGAACACAACCATCCAGGCATCGTGCAGGAGAGCGAGATCGTGTTGCCGGTTCCTGTGGACGTTTGCACTAGCTACCTCGCACACGTATCGATAAAGCACGGTTCGGGCCATAACCAGCGGCAAAACTCGTACTCAACCGTGAATGGA